ATTCTTGAAAGAAAGATTTAAGGTTGATTCTCCTCATTCAGTACTCAAAATTTGAATCATAGTATGTTTTCGTGTATGTTACAGGTTATAAAATCCAAATCGCGTTACCTAACTCTTACTTGGACCACAGACTCCAGTTTTGAATACCGTGGTTGGCGTATCGACTACGAATTCATCCCAGAAGGATCAGGTATCCTTTTTCTAACTCAGAAATTTTGCCTGAATAAAATTGCTTCAGAATGTGGATTTACTACGCATGCAATGTCCGGGGTAGTACATTCACCTGGTTGGCCTAAAGACTACGGTAATGATGAGGAGTGCATTTGGGATATACAGGTAGGGAAAGGATATATCTCAAGGGTTCTGGGATATTGTGACGCATATGGCTTTAGGTCCCACTTGGATATCATATTCACCTCCAATTCACTCATTTTGACATCGCACCATCGGAGGATTGCGCGAAGGATGCACTTACAGTAAGTTTGAGCACAGCATTTAGGAAATTCTGTTCGGGACCGTTTAGTATAAAAAAATATTTACATAATATCTAGGTCACGACAAATTTCAAGTTTCATTGTTTCTGCTATTTTTGAGTTTTTTAAATGTGCGATTTAAATCCATGCTTCACGGGCGGTCACAAGGGAATGCTGAGGTAGGCGTGGCGCGAGCGACCGACCGACCAACCAGTCGCCGCATAGAAGTGTAACAGCGCCAAAATCGTTAAAAAATGTGCTCATTGATGCACAAACGGCAGGTTTTCGCGATAATGCAAATAACAGCCTTAGTGGCGATGCAGGTGTGATGGTCCTAAACGGAGTAAGATTGGAAAAACTCTTGTTGTTAGAAAAATCAATACTCTGCTCTAAGCGAGAGTCATATCTTCTAATTGTTTACTGCGAGAATTCGTATGTTCTCAGATCTCTCAAGAACATTCGTCCCGAGCATTTGCACCTGTTGGTGACTACTTCTTCCTGTTTGAAGATGAAGAAGCTCATGCACCACTTTGTGGAATTACCCTACCAAAAGCCTTCCGTTCAGAAAGCAATAGAATAAGGTATGGTGCTCCAATATCTATTCTTTCTTCTAAATAAGTGATTTTAGGCTCAATTTCACAAGTGACGAGTCGACTACAGCGGCCGGTTTCCGCGCCGAATGGAAAGCTGGTAATTTTACTACAGTTGGTT